CATCTTACTGCTTGCAGTTTTTCAGATGCTAACTGGCGGTGGGGCCAGAAGAAACCTCTTCTCTTTTTAGGATGTTATAGTGATGGAAAGCTGGCTGCCATAAGCAGATGATGACCCTCACTGGAGACAGCTCAGCCATGACAATGACACCTTGAGGACTCTTCCAAAACTGGCCTCTACTTAACTAGAGAGAAGGGCCAGAGCCTTGTATTTCTATGCATGTGTGCACATTTATATGTACATGAACATAACGTAATTCATACAATAGAGGAGGAGTAATGCAACTGTGGGACGCTCCCTCTTCATCTGAGAAATGTAGAAAGACGTCACCGTCAAACCAGGAACAAACTCCCCAGCCCATGTTCCTAATTACACAGATGCTTTGTGGACCTCACCCCAAGAAACCTTTTTCTCCCTAAAATAAACTGATCTAATTCCATAGGAGAAAATTGCCTATTTATCTTCATATGATAAGGCAGTTATGTAAGTTGTACCATTGAGTATATCTTCTTTCAGTTGCCACTGTACAACTATATACTGGTGGGCTAAAGCGTGCCTGTCTTTCCTAAGACCGTCAAAAGGTGAAACAGGTCAGAGTCTGGGCATCTAAGTGAGGACAAGGCTGTCCCTCTCCCTTAGGCCTGCTACAAACTTCATGGCCCAGAGACTCAGGCAGGGATGTGTAGTTTCTTTTCCTTTTTTTCGTCTTTTTGAGAGAGGGTCTCGCTATGTAGTTCAGGCTGGCATTGAGCTCACTTTGTAACGCAGGCTGGCCTCAAACTCCCAGTGATCCTCCTGCCTCAGCCTCCTGAGTGCTGGGATTACAGGCATGCGCCACCACACCGAGCTTTTTCTTGCAGGGAGGGGATGTGCAGTTGCTTGATGTTTTTTTCCCTTAGTGCTCTTACATATCCCCTTTCTTTAGGGTATAAGGAAAGAACAATCAATGAACTCCAGGGCAATCCAACCAGCAGGCAGATGTATTATCACTGAAGTGACTAAAGCAGGAAGCATACCCCATGTAATGACACACATGACTCACATCGTTGAGGCTAATCTTGTTCACAGGCTTGAGAAGTGTGTGCTCCAGGTGGCCTTGAGTTTCCGCCCAAATCATTTCCACCAAATCGCTCACCTCCTGGCTCAGAGTGCTTGAGTGCATGACCTCCTCCAAAAGCAACTGCAACAAAGAATAACAAAGAATCACCACAAAAATCATCATAAGTGACCGTCTTTCAAACTAACATGGAGCTGAGCATAGTGGGGCACAGCTGTAATCCCAGCACTCAGAAGGCTGAGGCAGGAGGATAGCCACCAGTTCCAGGTCAGACTGTGCTACATAGTGAGGTCAAGCCCAGTCTGAACTATACAGCCTGACCCTGTCTCAAAAAAACAAAACAAAAAATAAAAACCTAACACAAGTAGATGAATGGAGGTGTGAGATGAAAAAACAAATCCCAGCAGAGCAGAGCCTCCTCGTCCAAGTGCTTGGGCAGGCTTGAGTGTGTTCCCCAGAGGTTCTGTGCTGGGGCCTGGCACCCAGTGGTGGTGCTGAGGTGGTCCACCAAAGGGGTGGGACCTGTGGGAGGTAATTAGATCGCAGGGTGCTGTCTTCCCCTCAGAAGGGATTTTTCTCTGGGTGCTTTTCTCTGGGAAGTACCATTTCCGTTTCCATTTCACCATGGTATGTGACAGCCACCACCCACCCACCACCCCAGCCTCCCCACCGTGCCAAGATGCTGGTGCCACGCTGTTTGGACATTCAGCCACCAGAACTGTGACGCAGTTGTGAGCCAAATAAACTCCTTTACCTACTAAGTACCTGGGCTCAAGTATTTTGGGATAGCAACACAAACACACTAAGCACCAGGGAACTGTAACACACCAGGCCTCCTCCCTGTGCTCTCCCCACATCCTCAGCCCCCTCTCCCCACCTCCGTTCTCCTCCTCCTCCCTGTGCTCTCCCCACCTTCGTTCTCCTCCTCCCTGTGCTTTCCTCTCCCTCTTCTGACTCTGTCCCACACACCCCCCTTTCTTTTACTGATTTTACTCTTCCTGTTGTCTTTCCCTTCATCCTGTGAGCGTTAGGCCTGCCAGTGGTGTTAAATAGAAGCAGTCAGGGTGAGGGACCCTCAAGTCTGCCTGGAGTGTAATGCAATGTTTTGAAAGCTGTACGGGTTCACTGCTGAAAGAAGGAATCACTCTCAGGGCTTTCCTGGAGCTCACCCCACATTCTGCATCTATACCTTTTGGTGAGTTTACCTTTTCTTCCTTAACTCATTTTCTGTCCTATCAATTTTATTTGTAACAAAGAAAACATTTCCATTAAAAATACTCAACAGGGTTGGGGATGTGGTTCAGTGGTAGTGCTTGCTGAACATGAGCAAAGGGTTAGGCTCAATCCCCAACTCTACAAGGAGAAAATTTCAACCGAAAAACAAAAAGCAGGTATCACTTCATCTTACTGCTTGCAGTTTTTCAGATGCTAACTGGGTTGCTTCAGGCGTAAAGTGTTCTCTGAGCAGAAATCCTTGTTTCTTCAACACTTCAATGTAGTTTTCGTAATATTCACTTGCGTCTGCCGCGGTGTTCTTTGCAGCGGCCTGTCTCCGGGTCTGTGAATCAGAGCACACAGCAAAGGTCTTACCAACACTCCGCCTTTCTGAGCATCTCTGTATGGGCGCAGTGGGTCCCTGCCACGAAGGAGTTCACAAACCGGTTTTCTTGCAGAGTTACTTAAATCCACTTTTCACAAACAAGACTATCTCTTGGTTACTTTTCTCTCATTGCTGAGACAAAATACCGGGCACCTCCAACTGAGGAGGAAAGGTTTCCTTAGGTCAGCTCCCGCGGGTGCCGGTCCACACCGCCGGCTCCGAAGCCGGCGCGGACGAGGGCGACAGCAGCTCCTGCGGGCTAAAGCGGGGGACACGAGCCAAGGGGAGGGGCGGCCCTCCCCTCACTATGCTCGAAGCCGCCGCCAAGCCCGGCAGGGAGGACGAGCTCGTCACTGGCTGCGCTGAGCCCTCCGAAAAGCCCTCGCAACCTCCAAAGGCCTTGGGGCATCCAGGCACAAACCCTGCCTATGGAACCTGGGGGGAAGGGGGAGGCCCGCAGGGCCGCAGGCTGAGCTCCTCGCCCTCGCCGGCCTCTTGTCTGCAGCCCCCCAGGGCGGCCCGCGGGTGCGCAGGGCGCCGGGGGGCATCTGGGCCCGGTCCTCGCCAAGACACGGCTCCTGCGAGCCCTCGGACACACGGCGGCCACTCCGCGGGTGAGCGTGTGCGCAGAGCCGCTTGAGGCCGAGGCGAGAAGAGCCCCGTGCCGTGGGCAGCAGCGGATGTCGCCACTGCTGTGCTTCTGGCCCAAGGCAGGCAGCAAGTCTCAAGGTCTAGCTGAGAAGTTCCTTGGTGGGGCTGCGTGTTCCATTTGACTTGGAGGCATCAATTCTGGACGTACTTTTCTTTCGTAACCCTTTTACACTGGAACAGTGCTCTCCCTTTGATGCTGACCTTGGGCAAAGGTGTCATGGCAAACCCCACTGCCGACCCCAGGGATCTGTGACCTCAAACCCACAGTACTTCACACACATTCCAGTGTTTGCCTTCTGTGTGTTTACATGTCCCCCAAAGCCCCGTGTGGTCATAGAGTTTTTTTGGAGGTGGCTAAATCTAGAGTCTGTGATTGATTAGTGGTAATCAATTGCACAATTAGTGCAATGCTGGGAATTAAGGGTGCACAACTGCTGGATCAGTCCGATGATTGGATTGGCACCACCCTACAAGTATTAAAATGGGCAGAAAGACGCTGTTAAGGTTTGGCTGTTGACTGTGCTGCCCCTCTGCCGCTGTGGACTGCTGCCCCTCTGCCATATGCCGCCCTGCCTTGGAGCCAGCCTATTACAGACTGAAACCTCTACAAACTGTGAGCTAAATAAACCTTTCCACTATTATCTTTGGGTGTTAGGTATTTTGTCTGAGCTGTAAGAGAAAAGCTGCCAGGCGTGGTGGTGGACGCTATAATCCCAGTACTCTGGAGGATGAGGCAGGAGGATTGTTGTGAGTTCGAGACCAGCCTGGGCTACAAAGTGAGCTAAAGGCCAGCCTGAACTGCATAGTGAGACCCTGCCTCAAAAAGACAAAAAAAAAAAATTTTAAATAAATAAAAAAGAAGAGACTTCTTTATAAAAAAAAAAAAGAAAAGAAAGAAAGAAAAGTAACTAAGACTACTGTTATTGATATTTCAGAACTATCACGGTAGACTGCAACAAAGAATATGTGGTGTCTTTCCATACTGGTGATTTCTGAAGGTCAGGGGCTATAACACTTTTCATTTTTCAATCCTGGCCCTAGCAGAATGCCTGGTACCGAGCAAGCCATCGATGAGGTGTGCTGATGGACTGCTTAAAAGGTGCATACACATTAGAAAATATCCCATGAGTGCTATGGGCCAGAACACAAACCCTACACACCGTACCTAGCAAGTGTTCTCCTCTGGCAGCACCACTGCCACTCTACTTAGGGGACTCAGTAGTTACTTCTCATACTCTGAAAGAAAACACATTTCTATGCTGAAGAACTACTTACCAGATATTATGGGCTGAACTGTGGCCTCCTTCCCAATTCGTATTCTGGAGCCCTAACCTTACCCAGTTCCTCAGCATGGAACTATGTACGGTAATTAAGTTAACACTAAGAGATAATGGAGTTAAATGAAGTCATGAGCATTAAACACTACCTCAATATGACTGGTACCCTTACAAAGGAAGAAAGGAGGATACACAGCAAGAAGGACAGAAACTCTAGAGGAAATCAGCCTCATCTTAGTCCCAGACTTCCAATTCCAGCACTCAGAAATAAATATTTGCTGTTTAATCCACCCAGCTACCGAACACCAGACTATTTATAACAGACCCAGCTGACCAAGACAACAGGCTAGCTGGTTCTGTGACCAGTTCTGAGGGAGGAACGAAAGTGGGTGGATACACAGGCACCAATATAAAAAGCATTACCTGCATGCTATCAGCCACCAGGAAGTGTGCAGATATCAGAAAAGGACAGTCCCCAGGTTCCTGGGCGCACTGCAGCTCCACCACCACCGTTTCCCGGCCTCTGTCCACGCCCACCTGGAAAACAGGGGTATCTCCAGAAGCTGTGCTGAGGAAAAAAGTAGTCACACACGATACCTGAAGATACTGGTATAATTACAAAGTACTATGTCTGTGTTTAGAGATGTAACTTCGAAATTATAGAAAAGTACCAAGAAGAAAATAAAAATCACCTGAAATTCTACTACAGAGAGGTAATCACCATTCATGTTTTTGTATTTTCCCTCCTGTATTTTCTCTGTATATGTATATAGTATATCACTTTTTATTTTTTTGTTACCACAGGGGAAATGTTACTTTCAATTTAATTTTATTAAAACATCTAGAAAACACAAATGGAGTATCACTTTAAAGGCAAGTGTTGACTTTTACTTGTGTGACTTTGTCAAAGAAAAGTTTTCTGGTTTTATTTTCATGCAAAAGGAACAGCAATTCAATTTGATGTCAAATCTACCCTTTCAAATATAAATCACTGTTAGTAACATGGAGAAAGACTTATTTTTAATGCTGTATTAATATTTTATACTGTTTAAAATTTGTACAATAAGCATAATTTTATAATTAAAGCATTAAAAATATATTTTTTAAACAAAAATATTTTGACTGGTTAAACAATACTAACTCATATATCATGGAATATAGGATATCAGTATATGAATAATTTTTCAAAGCAATGAGAAAGTAGTCAAACAGAAAAAATGCTCAGAAGACTTTTTTTTTTTTTTTTTTGTCTTTTTGAGACAGGGTCTTGCTATACAGTTCAGGCTGGCCTTGAACTCACTTTGTAGCCCAGGCTGGTCTCAAACTCTTAACGATCCTCCTGCCTCAGCCTCCTGAGAGCTGGGATTACAGGCATGTGCCACCACACCCAGCTGCTCAGAAATCATTTGCACAATTTATTTTTTACTAAATAAAAATAAGACTTACTCTTTCCAAGGTGTTATATTTTGCAACTTCAAATTCTTGAGAAAAAGGAGGAATTTCAACACTCTCTGCATAAAGCCTGAAATTTTTATAATTAAAATTTTATATTAGAATGAATTTTTAGGCTCAGCAAAATTTTATAATAGGTCTACTACTTCCCTATGAAATACATTTTAAGCCATTACTGCCTCCTTAGAGTTCTAGAAATCGTTAAAAGATCATGAGAAGTGAGCTGGATTCCTCCTCTGCATAGTTAAAAATTAAAAATTAGGCTAGGGATAGAACACACCCATAATTCTAGCACCTGGGAGGCCGAGGCAGCAAAATCACAAGTTGAAGCCAACCTGGGCAACTTAGAGACTTAAGGAGATCCTGTCTCAAAATAATTATTACTATTTTTAATTGTACATATTTAAGGGGTACAGTATGATAATTTAATAGATGCACATAATGTGTAATGATCAAATCAGAGCAACTACTGTCTCCATCTTCTTCTGCACAATTCTCAAGCTCTGCTGCCCAGAACCTCTTCATCTGCTCTGGAAGGCAGATGCACCAAGGAAACACACAGAGAAAACCTGCCCCTTGCTCTGGAGACAGACCACCGCGGTTGCCTGGCATCTGACCCTCCCCCCCAGTACTGGTGATTGAATTCAGGACCTCACACATGTAAGGCGAGTACTTTACCGCCGAGCTGTATGCCTACTGGCTTTTATTTATCTATTTTTTATTTTAAGCCAGGGTCTCAGTATATTGATCAGGCAAGGCTCAAACTTGACACTCTCCTGCCTCAGCCTCTCAGAATTCCTGGTATCACAGGTGTGTGCCACCACACCTGGCTTCAACTTCTCTTTAAAATAAAGGAGTCCAACTTATTATCTTTATTTTGAATTCTCTTTGAATACTATTCTCTTTTAATACTACTATTAACATATACGATACAACCAAATTCAATGCTTAAT